AAACGTGCAAAGATCATATATCATGTTTGCTGGAAATAAACAACCGGACTGACGTCCCCTAGCAATAGAAGGGGCCGGAGTGTGTGTGAGTGAAAAAAAAAAAAAAAAAAAAAAAAAAAAAAAAACCAGGAAACGTGGCCGAGGCATCTCGGCGTGGCCACGGCCGAGATGCCTCGGCGACGCCGGCGGAAAAAAAAAAAAAAAAAGAAGTGCGCTGAGTGCCTGAGGCCGGAACGCAGAGTCCCTGAGTCCCTGAGGCCAGGGGCCGATGAAGCTGCAACGAAACATCTATTTTTGCAAAGGAAACTTCGAACGGACGACATTTTTGCTCCCAAACTTCGAAACGAGCAATATTTTTGAAATTAACCCTTCCTCTTTCCGCTTGGTCAGAGCAATCGGCGGTCAACATCTCGTGGCATTGCATTCAAAGTACGTTGCACGGACTTGCGTTTCGCTCCACGAATCTGAACGCAATCATGAATATGATGCATTGCAAATATCTCTTGACCGCCGACGGCAATCGACGGTCAGTATCTCATGGCATGGCATGCAAAGTTGCCATGACACGGTCGCACGCACACTGGCGTTTCGCTCGATGAATGTGATCGCAATCATGGATCTGATGCATTGCAAATATCTTTTGGTCGCCGCTCGATGAATCTGACCGCAATCACGGTCAATATCCGATGGCCTTGCATGCAAAGTTGCCATGACACACCTTGGATTTATTTACGATACAGATATATATAGTCGGACTAGGACTTCGTCGACTGAGCTCTGGACGTGATTGCGGTCAGATTCATGGAGCGGCGGGCCGCGGGCGTGATTGCAGTCGGATATATTCTAAAAAGATAGTGTGAGAACGCCTTCAGAGGATGTGATGCAAAAAAAGAAGAACGAAGAGAAAAAAAAAAAAAAAGAGCAATCAGATGACCAATCAGCTGAGCAATGGGAGCAAAGCTCTGGACGGAATTGTGGCCAGATACATCAAAAAAAAGGGGGGCCAAAAAGCAAGAACAGTTAGGGTAGGAGGGATTTTTATTTTATTTTTTTTATTTTTTTTTACCCAGAACACGTTCGCTTGTATTGCAAACCAAGATATCTCGAGGCCGGGGACCTGTTATCCTGGCAGCATCAGCCAGTTTAGCTTATCTTCCTCTGATTCCACTGCAGACTGTACTTGAAATCCTATGCTAGTTTTCCCCGTGATTCAAACAAGTCAATTACTATTCTTAACTCCGAAACAGCACTTCTTGCCAAAATGTCTTCACATGTCAAACTATACTCCTAACTCCTACCACAGCTACTTCTAGCCAATTCACAGGCCTACTGCGGCCTGACGCCGGCCTATTCGATTATGATTGATACTATAATCAATATCAAGATTTCTTTAATTTCATGCGAATGAGACTTGGCGGGTCTCTTGGAGGCACATATTCGACCGGTGGAACCGAGGTTCCCAGTCCCCTTGGCACTCTCCACCCTCCTCCCCTTCAATACCTACTGTGGTCCGAACTAAAACCGAGTACCCTGGTTCTGACTATTGCTACTAAGTAGTACTAACCTATCTGATCTATCCCCTACTTTAGTCCTCCTCTCGTCCCCTGCCTCTTCCCTCAGCCGGTAACTACCTGTCCCACCAAAGTGAGATCGAACTTCTTTTTTTTCTTTTTTCTTTTTCCCTTTTTCGTTGTGCGGAAAACCGTCCATCAATATCAGGCAAGCGCAATGAGGATATTAAGTCTTAACCAAAATCAGGGCATACACACACTTAGCACACTACCGTCTTCCCCCGCACATAACGCATCCTAAAAATGAATGTATACAAGCTATATTTCCGGCCAGATACGGCCAAAATAAGGGTGCGTTGTGTGCGGGGGAAGACGGTATCACTTCTTCACGTATTTATAGCCATCCATCCCGCAGGCACCGAAGTTTACCTACACGTAAGCAACTGCGTGCCCATCTAATCTGGCGTGCTATTCTTGGCTTCAAAGTTCAAAGTGTGTGACCGACCGAGGGGAGGGCTTTAAAGTGTGTGACGGACCGAGGGAAGGGCTTTAAAGTGTGTGACCGACCGAGGGAAGGGCTTGGAACGGGGAAGTGGGGGACCGACCGAGGGAATGGCTTCAAAGTGTGTGACAATCCGAGGAAATGGCTTTCACGAGTGCGACAAGGTAATGGCTGCCAAGTGGGTGGCAAGCGGAGTGAATGGCTTCCAAGTGTGTGACAATCCGAGGGAATGGCTTTCATGAGTGCGACAAGGGAATGGCTTCCAAGTGTGTGACAAGCCGAGGGAATGGCTTTCACGAGTGCGACAAGCCGAGCGAATGCCTTAGTGTGTGACAAGCCGAGGGAATGGCTTCCAAGCGTGTGCCTAGCCGAAGGAATGGCCTCAATGGCTTGAAAGTGGGCCTCGCTCCACCGCTCTCCAAATCAGATTCTGCAAAATGAGAATGAATCTTCCGCTTAGCCTACAACACAGAACTATTCACCCGTAGCACTAGGGGATCTGAACTGCCTCTTGCACAGGTTTTCAGAGTTGAGGCTGTGTGTCAGCCCGTCAAGAACCAGCCTACAGGCTTCCCCCGAATACAACGCACGGTCATTATATCTGAATTTAGACTGAAAGATACACCAAATTCTGTTATAATGACCGTGCGTTGTATTCGGGGGGAGACTGTAGTACGTCTCGGTACTTTCTTCCAAGCATCCGATCTGAGGATCGAATCTCTCTTGCCAACAACAAAAAAAAAAAGGATAAGGAAGAGGCCTTCAGAAGAGAATCCCAGGCTGGCAGTACACGTTCGGATTACGTGCTCAAAGCAGACCCCCGCCTACTGCTAGGGGTTCTCTGTGAACGCCTCAAGACTCTGATGGCCGCCTCTCTGATTATGGTTTAATCAAGTTTAATGTATGAAAAAAGCAGAACACTTCTTCTCTTACCGTCCTCCAGACTCCGGAGCCATAGCTGCTCGTCGCTGGAGCTGGTTGTTGTTTCTTGTTTTTGACACGAAGCAGAGTCGGACCGGACCCCCTCCTACTGCAAGGGATCCTCTGTATCAAGAGGGAAGGCCTCTTAACTTTCTCTTAAGGACTCTCTGATGGATGGACTAATATAATATGCAAAGAGCAGAGGACATCTTCTGATTGGTGTTCTCCGGAGCCATTATTATAGCTGCTCTCCGTTCGAGCTGGGTGTTGATTCTTGTTTCTGACAAAACATTTTTAACCAAGTTGAACGAAAAAAGGCCGGCAGTGCATGTGCGCGTTTTTTTTTTTTTTTTTTTTTTTTGAAGGGCGATGACCTTGAGGTATTATCATCGGACTAACCAGCCCAGGTAAATTCAATATTGTGTCTAATCTGACATCGGGTGGCCTTTTCAGCCCGGGGTGGCCTTTATTTATTGCCTTCAGGGAAACCCCAACGGGGGACACCGGCCAGGGGACAGCCGGTAGCAGAGGGACCGAGCATCATCTGAGTGGCAAGTCGCTGTGCCTCCCCGATTACCCCTCCCCCTATGAACATCAGCAGACACTGCATTTTAATGGGCATGCTTGGCGTCCGCCACCTAGAGATAGCCCGTTGGTCCCCCCAATTGGCATTACAAAGCATGTGCGCGTTTGTGCTGTGCGCACTTTCGGTCATTTTCATTTATGAGAAAAAGGGCGTACTACCGGTAGTCAGGGCTTTTGAGTTTGAAAAATGCCCTTCTGGATCAGCGAAAAGGCCTTCGAAAATGTCCACTGTCACACTGTGTATATCCAAGCTAGCTTTCCAGTCCGGTAGGGTCACCTGAGGGTGTCTCGATCCCTCAGTGACACCCTTTTTTTTTTTTTTTTTTTCCCTCAGTGACACCCTCGTTGCCGAAGAGCATTCAATTTTTTTTATTTTTTTTTTAAGGGCGACGGCCTTGAGATATCATCATTAAGCTGACCGGCCCCAGGTAATTCAGAAATAGCCGACCCACTGAGCTAGGCTCTTGGGTGCATTCAATTTTTCGATTTGTCGACAAACATAAAGTGTCGTGAAACCCACGAGCCTAGCTCAGTGGGGACCACACCCATGAACTGTTGAAATACAGACCAGGTGCTGAGTTCGAATCCAGATGACTGAACTTGATGAGTAAAACCAACTACTAACGAATTGCCTGGGGCCACTCAGCTCAATGATAATATCTCAAGGCCGTCGCCCTTTTCTGAAAAAAAAAAAAAAAAAAAACAGCTTGGCAAATTGAATGCCTAATTCAACAAGAACAACTTGAGGCTGCCTATGTCTCAGTGATAAACAACTTGTGTACCTTCTTCCCCCGAATACAACGTTCATTATAGCTGTATTTTGACTGAAGGATACCCCAAATTCAGCCATAATGACCGTACGTCTAAATACAGCTATAATGACCGTAGGTTGTATTCGGGGGAAGACTAGTTACTGTAAGTGAATGTTAGGAAGTTACAACGTACGGTCATTAGAGTTGTATTTAGACTGAAAGATACCCCAAATTCAGCTATAATGACTGTGCATTGTATTTGGGGAAAGACTAGTTACTGTAAGTCAATTTTAGGAAGTTGAAGAGTGAAGAGAGTGTCATCAACAACTTCTGATCATTGATCTACTTTTCTGCACCTCTGCGTGAAACACGTCCAGATTCAGACACTTCTTCCAATCCTCTTTGCCAGTGGGGTCTCGCCCTAAGTCAATTTTAGGAATAGCATTTTGTGAAGGACGGGTCTCCATCTATCGTATACTGGTTGTCCGCAATGTGATGAGGTAGGTTACCCTACTCCCATCTTCCCCTGAACATAATGCATAATGCACCCGGATAATGAATGTATACAATGTGTATTTCCAGTCAGGGACAGCCGAAATGAGGGCGCGCGATCAGGTAGGTTACCCCTTACTCCCATCTTCCCCCGAACATAATGCATAATGCACCCGGATAATGAATGCATACAATGTGTAGGAATAGAGCACAGAGGCATGATGGAAGTCTGGTCCTTGTCAAAGTTTTGCAGGCGACGGTAGCAGGTCTAAAAGAGCTTCTGAGGTATAGAGAGCAAAGAGGGATGATGATGATGGAAGTCTGGTCGTCGTCCTAGTTCCGCCAGTTGAATCTCAGAGCTTGTGAATGGACTGGGTTGTGCGTGATACGTCGATAACCGTAGGGGACACAGGACCTGGGACCAATACCCACTTGGCAATGCCCTAAATTCTCAACATAAGAGATGTTAGGAGATGGGACCAAGTCCCACTTAAGTTACCCTAAATTTGCAACACAGGACATAGGAGCTGGGACCAAGTCCCAATCAGTACCCTAAATGCTCAAGTTCTTAAAGTAGATGACAGATCAGCCTTAAGTGGGACTTGGCCCCTCCTGATAGATGGACACAATAAATCACACATGATTTTATTTTGAGAAAACTAGGGCGCGGTCATAGTTTGAGTATCTAAATCCATTTCAAACTGCAGTTTTTAATTCCAGTCCCGTGGGGAGCGTACTATGCAGTCGAAAGAAACTCCACTTTGCAGAAAGTCGCACTGGGCAGTTTGGAACTGCAGGTTTTTTTATTTATTTATTTATTTATTTAAATGCGTGTCATCCTTGGACAGGGGCCATGCTAATCATCTATGTATCGTTCCAATCTGAACGGATGTCCCAAAGGACGGAACTGCAGTTCAGTCAGGCAGGTGGACTGTTTTTGGTTGTGCTCCCTGTTTTCTTTTTCTTTTTCTTTTTCTTTTTTTGGTTGCGTGCCTGTGACGCTCAACCTCATGCCCTGCACTGCTTTCCGGTCGGAGTGTTTTGGGTTGCGGAAGGCGGGGGGGCGGGGAAAGGCAGCAAAGATGGGGTGTGCCGGGGATTTCTGGAAAATTGAGTGCGGGGACATAGACAGAACTGAGATCTCCCATGTTGGTCCGACGGTAGTAAGAGGAAGGTCCGTCGTCGCGCGGGTTTTAAGGGAGAAAAAGGCGTGCGCGGGACTTGCAGCTATGGGAAATTCAATCTAAAAAGTATTGTTGGACTTCCCAGCGAGCCGTCGCTCTTCGTTTCACGTGAAAGGGGGTGGGTACGCACATGGTATCCCGTTTTCGGATGAGGTCTCGTCGGCGCTCGTTACACAACTGAGTCCGGCGTGGAGGGCCTCGATCGAGTAGCCTTCTCTTTGTGCTTGTCCTCGTCACGTGTATGATAGTGGAAACTCTTGGCCTGGTGATGCTCGAAGCGACGACAATCGCTGGGCCAATGAGACTCCACTGTCGTCCACGGGATCGGTTCGTTAAATGGCAACAACAACGAATAGGGCGGAAAGCGCATATCAATGATAACAAAACCCGCACCGACGAATCCACAACACCGAGTTTCGGGAGGAAAGTAGTAACACCCTCCGATCTTGGTGATGGCTTCTCGTACATCCCACGCGGATACACTCCTTTCCTCGTTGTACGGGAAGAGGGGTGGCGGGGGTACGGGAAGTTGGCGCCCGGTCGGGTTGGGGCCGTAAGTCCACATGGCAGCAAAGGTAAGCTCAAAACAGATCTTAATCATGCATCATTTTGACACTCCAGGCAACCAGATCATCCAGTCGATCAGCCAATCGTCCTTACAATCATGCTATAACAAACTGAGTCTCTCTAACACGACTCACCGCATGCTCATACCGAAGTGAGAGAAGGAAGGTTACCATTATTCATCCCTTATGATATAACGTGATCGGACGAGAGAGGGAGAGTATGGACGCAGACCAGGAGGGAAGAACGAGTAGAAACTTATAGAAAGCAATCACAGAATGTCAGGCAATCTTGTCCTGGGAAGTTTCGGCTTAAAAGCCGAGCGATCGGAATTCACACTGGAAGATACAAATTTTGGGACAAAAAGGGGAAGCACTTCTGCCATAAAATTCCACCATAGCCCCAGGCCATGCACTCACTCACTTCCGACTCTAACGTTTCACTTGCACTGGCGATCCCGACCGTCACGTGCCAATCCACCATAGGGATCGTCGCCCCGCCGACTTAGTCTCTCCACGGCCTTGCTCGGATCCCACAGTCTGTCGGGCGATCCAGCACCCCGAGCGCTAACTACAACCAGCTCGTAGTAGGGACTTTTCGACTTGCACCTTCCTTCATACCACCTAGCCCCAGCTTCCCAGAACCGGGCTGACGAGTCAAGAGAGATTTTCGGGAGCGCTTGTGGGATTTATAGCTGCGGAAAAAAAAATAGATGCTAGGAAGGATTAGGACTGAGATAGGGAGGGGAAGGGAAAGGCTCAGGGATACTCGCCTGACGAAAGTCATGTCGATCCTTTGGATCCCAGTTGTAGCCAATCAGAATCGTCGTGTATCAGGAATTTCCTTCTTACACGGCGCATCTCCTTGGCTACAGCCTACAGGGAGTGAAAGGGGGGGGGAGGGGGGATCGACAGGTTATTTCAGCACGGGGATTAGAGCGGGAAGAAAAAGAGCGCGAAGAGTAGCGTGAAACGGAACCAAGATTCAGAAAATCAAGAAGGAGAGAAAAGGTGCGCAAGGTCGAAGGAGAGATGGAAAACGGTTACAGAGAGAGGAGCGTTAGCGCGAAGAAGAGTGTCCAAGGCAGCGTGGGAAGCAGGAAGGGGAGACTCACATGTATGACGCCGACTCGGAGGCAAAAAGGGCACCAAAACAGTTACAGCTTAGTACCATATCCGCGCGGTAGAGCGAGCGTGGGAGAAAATCATATACCAATTCAGATTCCTACGAAAATTCCCAGAGCTTTCCAAGACGAAGTTGAGAACATTCATGCGCAAGAAAGGACACATCGGACTCCGCTCATTCCGGAATTCCTAACCGTCGACCGAAATTCCTAGCGTGCTTGCTAAGGCGCGCGTAATTCCCATGTGTGCAAAAGACAAATTTCCCAAAACTGATCTGAGGGTCCCGCATATTACATTCATGAAAAATACAAAAAGAGGAGGCTGTCACCCAAAATTTGACAAAGACAGGGGGGGGGGGGATCGGAAGATGGCGCAGGTCCGGAAGCTGGCACGTCACATGCCGCACCACGGCTGAAAAAAAAAAAAAAAAAAACAGCCGGTCGGGCCACGGCCGAGATGTCTTGGCCACATCCCAGATTGGCCATTGCTGAGATGTCTCAGCCGCGGTCGAGATTCTAGGGTTGGGGGGGGCGAGTGGGAGGAAATGCGGCGTGCAACTGTAGTTCCAAACTCCGCTGTGTGTCTTTTCGGCAAAGCGGAGTTTCGACCGCATGGTAAACTTCCGACGGGACTGGAATTAAAAAAATGCAGTTCGAAATGCATTTAGAAACTGCTTTCGTGGCTCTATAGTTACCCCTTCTATTTTTTTGGTGAAATAACAGCGGATGGTATGTTTTGAAACGCTAAAGGCAAAAAAAACTTGCGCCAGCAAAGAAACCACGTGCCAACTGGAAATGAGCGATTTCAGTCCAAAAGTATCCGGTGGGCATTATGCCAACCCCTGAAAAATGACACCGGTTGGACACAACATAGTCAGTACTTCCGTTGTCTTTTTGAACTTGGCGGGGTTTTCTTTGCCAACGCGTGTTTTTTTTGCCCATCCGATGACATGAATGTACTCACGCTGGGGATTTCTTTGCGAACAGCAATTGTAAAACAGGAAAACTGCCCATTCGATGACATGAAAGTACTCGACCCTTTTTTATTTTGACACGTGCTTTTCATGCTTTTTCCCCGAACTCGTGCTTTTTTCTGTCTTCTGTTTCATGTTCTTGTTCCTCGTTTGTGTGGGCGATGAGTTTTTGCTATTTTCTGTCCCTGTCCTTCGTGTTCTTGTTGCTTGTTGGTGTGCCTCTCTGGCATATGTCCGAGTTTTTGCTATTTTCTGTCCCTCTCCTTCGTGTTCTTGTTTTTTGTTGGTGTGCCTCTCTGGCATATGTCTGAGTCCATTCGTTTTTCCTTCTCTCGTCCTTGCTACCGTACTTACGCTGATGTTCACTCCCTACTCATATGGGTCCACTGTGCTCGTTTGTGTTTCAATCTGTCACGGATGACAGGTGACTGACTAAGCTACGCCAATTCCCAAGTGGAACCTTATGATCTGAGAATTGCAGAGTGGGACCAGGGACCAGGAGAATTCCAGAGTGGACCAGGGACCATGAGGATTCCAGAGTTTGCCAGGGACAGACTGCCTTAGCTCCGCCAATTCCCAAGT